GCCTACTACCAAATAATTTATCTCTCCACGTAACAAGAAATCATTCTTTTGGAATTATTATTTTGAATGAAATTGTTCGGATTTAAAATAACTTAGGAATATGAATTTATCTGGAATAAACATTCAAAAGATATAGTTTTCCCCAAAGAAAACACTGTTGAAAATTCTTATAATTAATATTTTTTAAGACATTGTGTATAATGAAATTTATAAAGAAATATTTTAATTTTGGGTAAATATATTACCACTACAAGTTTTACTAAGTCCACCACAATTTTCTTATTTACTAAAATATCCTTAAGTAAAATTACACAATTATAATTTTAATATACTTTTTATTTAAATAAATTATCGTTACACCACAAATATAAAGCCTAAGGGTAGTTATATTACCATTACAAATTTTACTAAGTACGCCACAATTTTCTTATTTACTAAAATATCATTAAGTAAAATTATATAATTAGAATTTTAATATACTTTTTAATTAAATAAATTATTGTTATACCACAAATATAAAGCCTAATTTCTTTCTTTTCTTTTCCTCAATATCTCATTATTCATAGTTTTCCCAACGATTTTTGCCTTTTTCATGGCGACAAGATAATCTTTTCCCTCACGATAAATGAATTTATTTTTCAAGTTTGAAAATTAAGAATCTGATTTTTTTTGTTGAGTTAAACAAATTTGTTATGATTTTAAAACAAATATATAAGATTATGATTTTTAATTGTTAAATGGGTTTATGACTCATCATAATTTCATGAATTGCATGCATTCATCATGTGAGCTATACACAGGCTACTCCACTCATTACCACGAATTTCATGTATATAGGTAGACCGTAAATGAATTTGTGTATATGTAGGTGCATCAGTTTTCGTGAATTTTTGCCTATGAGGTATATGAATTTTCGAAAGTTGTTCTTAATCAACTAGAATTTTTTATTGTTATATTGTATTATTTACAGGATCATAATAAATTAATTTTTTATAAGGTTGTTGTTGATAAAATTTCTTAATTTCCACTTAAAAGTGTTTCCAAAATGGACTTCAAAGATTAATAAATGAAATTGTAAATACATTAAAAATTCATATTTCAAATAAAAATGGTAACACAAATAAATTACTGACAACTTCAAAGGATCTTTTTAGACATATTAATTATTTGTGACAAACATTCTATTTATTATGGGATGGTGTTCTTCGCCGATCTTCTGATTTCAATTGCTGTGAAATAAATGAAGGGAAAGGTTGAGAAAATGAGGATTAATATTGGTGATAAGTACATCACAATATTATATTATGTTCTTTTTCAATTTTTTATTTTTATTGAATTAGGAGTATAATTGTAAATTTATTGCGGTGTATTTATTAAAAATATACTTTAATTGTGGTGTAACTATAATATGGTGTAATAATTAAAATTTGTAGAGGTAATATAATTAGCCTTTAATTTTTCAATCACTGTATTCATTTACTTTATGAAATTTTTATTTAACTAGTAACACATCTTAATTTAAGCATATTATATACTTATTCTCAACATTTCTATTTAAAAGTAACTTCTAGGTTAACTTTTACACAATAGTGTATTGGGGTCCCAACTGATCCAATACATGACATTGTTGAGTAGCGTTGATATGCCATGGTTCGCATAGATAGTGAATTCTAGTAGTATGGATATTAATGCTATAAAAAAATTAGAAGTTATGGATATTAAATCAAGATTTTTTACGAGTCTTAAAAGGTCACGAATATTCAAATGTCAACAACTTTTTATAAAATCTTGCATGTACAAAATTTCAAGCGGAAATTACTAATAGAAAAATTCATAGAATGTCTCTCCTTTATCTTTAGGATTTTGAAAAGCTTTCACGATAATAATATCTTTCCATGTGTAGTATTTCTCTATTTCTTTAGTATTTCTCCTTCCCCTTTCATTCTACGGAATTACGGATCCTAGATCCATGATATAAAATAAAATAAAATTTAATATTTTCCCTCTTTTTCTTCAACTTATTATATCATTCTCTTTTAATATTCTCATTTTCCCCTTTCCTTTTTTTCATCAATTTCTCCTTTTTCCTATGAAAATGATAAAATTTTAAATTGCAAGAAATCTTCACTATCTAATTTTTCATGGGTACTTCCAATTTTTTAGAGATTCCCATTTTAGTTAAAATCTTATAACAAAATAAATTTATTTACAATTGAAATTTTATAAATTGGTTGTTTGTTTAATTTAATAACTTACAACATATTTGAACATATTAATAATGTTGAAGAACAGAGATTTTCCTTTTTTTTTTTCTCTTGTCAGATTATTGAATTTTTTTCTAATTTAGATGATTGATATTTTTATAAAAATATTTATTGACATGAGAAAATAATTTTGGTACAGTATTTTATTGACCATTTAGTAATGCAAGTAGTGGTTTATGCAATAAATTATATACAAGATTTCTTTTCTTCTAAAACGATAGTTCATCAAAGCTATTAAATAAATGTTTATAAAAGTTTATGAAAATTTTCGTTTATAATATAAAAGTTTATAAAAGTCAAAAAAATTTCATTTAACTCTATGAAAATCGTTCGCTTACAAAATATTTAATTAGACATATACAAAAGAAGAATTATTTAAACATATGTAAAAGAAGAATTATTTTTTTCTTAATAACTCCACCCTGCGTATATTTATTCGGATTGAAACCATCTTTTTGAAATCGTCAATTTGATTCCAAGTGGACCTGTCAATGAAACAATTTTTAACTAAACTAAACCCTTCTAAAATAGTTTGCTTTATGAGTTCAAAATTTTAATAGTCATTTGAGACCTAATCGATTGTTTTAAAAAATTAGAAAATAAAAAAATTAAGGTTTTTCCTATAATTTAGGCTAATAAATTACATCTTAACCTTAATGTTATAATTTTTTAATAAAACCTTGAGATCCAAAAACTCCACGTTACGAACAAGTTAAATTTGTAGTTTGATGGATATATATATATATATATATATATA